TGTCCTCTCCCAACTGAGAACTAAGGAAATTTTTAATTTTTGGCGGTTCAGGCGAGGCGTCGGTTTTTCTTGGAGGCCCAGTATCAATGTCTCTTTAGGCGTAGTAATTCCGAAAACGAGTGAAAACATAGTTAAACGATCATGCTGAATCTCGTAGCGACATTTGTTTTGCAAATAAGTTCCAGAAACCTAGTGGAAACCCATATTAAGTGAAATGACCATTTACTTCAGACAATACGAACACTGTTGGTGTACTGTTGCTGTACTAAGTAATAAAGTTCACGTTCATCGGAACGCTAGCGTTCATGTTCGAGGAACGTCCACGTGCTTTAGCGTTCACGTTCAAAGAACGAAACGTGAACTTTTACAGGCCTACGAACAATACACAAGGTCCTGTGCATGGACTAAATATGAGAACTAATCATCTGTCGTATTTCCAGTCACACGCACGCACACACACATCATCAATTATAAGACTTTTAGTGAAATATATCGATAAAATTCTAGATATGCAACAAACGGAAAACCAGAAAAGCGTAAAAACCGGCATGTATCTCGGGTGTATTATATATCGTCAGGATAACCGACATGGATACAACCGTCTGGCGTCATTTGTTTAATTTATATGTTATCTCAATTTTTATAATAATATCTGCGAATAACAGATTCCGCCTTCATATGTGACAAAACAAAATGTTCGATGTTTATTCACTATGATCGGCTTCTGTATACTTGTTCGCTTAATATAATAAGATTTGAATGATTGAATTCGCGCAGAAATATGTTCAAATATTGTCATTAACATACTGATCATCGTCAAACCGGCACATTCAGTGAAACTGTGAACTGTTACGTTGTGTCAAATTATAATACAGTTCGAATCTATTAGCCGTTTTACAACATAGATTAAACTGAGAATGAATATGATTACAGGCGGTCTGAAAGATGTTTGAAAAACTTCACTTATGGCTTTTAGTAGGCAGATATCGATTGGTTAACAAATCAGTGATCTTCTCATGTTAATCAAATTTTGAACGAGGTATCTAACTGTCTATAAATATAAAAAGTAATAAAGTTCTGTCGTCATTCTTCTTATCAAATGGAGTACAAAGATAAGTTCAACTTTATGTCATTGAGTTTAGTACCGGAAGACGAATTTATGTAAAACATATACAAAGTGAAAATGTTTGTTTTTGTTATTCGTGTAGTTTGTGTATTTATATGTTTGTTAAGATAGTTAATATATTTTTCTTTGCCGTATTTTTGTTTAACAACAACAATAAAAATGTTTAGTCAGCTTATAATCAAAATTTTAATTTTCCCTATGAGATAACATTTAATGAGCCAATTGATCACGCGGTAAATCAAACAGAAGTGAACATGCGCACGATAAATCGCGCGGTCATACATTTGTTGGCAAGCCTGCTATCTCACGCAAAAGTGTCCACATTTCACCAACATTCGCAAGCGTAAGTTACGAGACTCCAACTATCGTCCAGCGGCACGCAACAGGAAACTTCGCTCGTACTTGAATAAAATCATTTCATTCTATTAGTTGGACAAGAAAAAGTGAATCACATTTTGTCTCAGTCTCCCTTCTCTTTATTTCCGTGAATTACGCCGTCGAAAACTTGACCGGAAACATCCAATACACAGAGAAATGGCTCATAACGATCATTAACTCGCATGTTCCTGCGTGCGATCAGCTTTGATGATGAGAAATCATTTGGTAGTGATGATTGAGAAGATAGAATGGTCGAGTGGGAAGTTCGTTCATCTTTCAATGTGATATCAAGTTCAAATCTATTAGAGTTCGCTTCTGTTCTATCTCTCATGCGTGTACATGCAGTTTACACCACAGTGCGGCACTAGTGGATTGCCTCTAAGTTCATCATCAAAATGAACTTAGACCACATTTAGACCGCACTAATGATTTAAATAAATGCAGAAAAGTGCATGTATTTAAATCACTGGTATAGTCTAAGTGCATATAGTCTAAGTGCATTTAGACGATTACAAGCTCAATTTTGTTTTGAATGAATAATTATTAATTACAATTCTTTTGCAATGTATTTGAGGCAAGGTAAAAACCATCAAAAAAAAACGTCTAAGCCCAAGCCGATGATTCCAGAGACAAGTTACTGATCGATCCGACCGAATCCGACAAAATCTGGCACCGAAACCATGCCGTATTATGTCGGTATCCTGGCGCCAGGATTCCGTGCTGGAAGATGTCGGTAAAAATTCGACGGGATCCTTCGAGTTCCAGACATCGGATTTTGCTAAATTTGGCAGAATATGACCGGCTTTCAGGTGTTTGAAGGCTAAAAATAGGCTTTTTTATTTTCTATTTTTTTTAGTTCATTTTCTAATGGCTCCAGTCGTTCACACTCTCACTCATTTGTTTAATTTATATGTTATCTCAATTTTTATAATAATATCTGCGAATAACAGATTCCGCCTTCATATGTGACAAAACAAAATGTTCGATGTTTATTCACGTCTATTGACCAGTGTGAGCGGTGACTCATACTGTTAAGAATTTGAGAAGACAATTTCCTTGGTTGTCATTTTCTGCAATGTCATATTTAAAGTAAACGAAACAGTGAATATATTTTGCACACAGAAAAGAAAGAAAAAAACATAAAGAAGCGCGCACCACAGGATCTGTTGATTTGCGGTGACCGGAAATTAAAGGATCCGACCGATTCCAGATATCGGGAAGCGAAAGAATTGACCGTATTCCAATAGGGCGAATTCGACCTCGGAGATCGTAGCAAAGGCATCCTTAGGCCGTTACGTTAGTAGATAGATTTCAGCGTTTTCGAGTCTGTAGTCACGATAGACACGCTGTTTTGATCTGAGAACCGGTAGTTGCCGATATCCTTAACTTCTCATCTCTTCATCGTGTGCTTTGCAAATGTCTGATCGATGCATAACAGTATTTTAGTTAATTATAACGAGCGGTTGAAAGATGCATGTTTCATATCTTTAGCGGGGTATATTCAGCGAAATATGAGAATGATTTTTCGAGAGAATGTCTTTTTGAAAGTTTTTATCTATTCATTGTTTGCATGTCCAAACAATGATTAAAACGAATAAGTTTTTGACTTTCTATGCTATTTTTACCTTTGTTTTTGAGTGTTAGCTATCGCAGTGTGCAATTTATTCCTAAGTTTAAAACAAAAACATTGAAGTATTTCATTCACTACCACACTTTTGTATGTCGGAAGAATTAGCAGAAATTGTATGTTCAAAAAATGAGAGTCATATTCTTTATTATTTTATGTACAACGGTCTGTGCATTATTTGATAAATATGAGCAACAATGTACGAAAGACAAACTGAATTGTTCAATTAAAACACGTTATTTGACTCGTGGAATGCTATCATTTGCAGTGATACCCGCGTTATTGCTAGTATTATCGTGTTACACACTGTCTCCTATGCACAGTCGAATATTTTCAAGATAATTCTGTTTTACTGGCAATTTCGAAATAGATGTTATATAAAGAGAAACTATTTGTTTATATAGGATGGCCAGAGATATGTCAAATACTAGTATTCTTCGTTTGTGTATGGTTTGTCTTTAAATCCAAAGACTTTTTCATTCGTTAACTTATTTTAATTTCTAGCTTATACAGTATCGTCAACGATAGTTCTAGAAATAATGCAAATGTTTATTAAGCATTCCTACTTTTGTTAATTTTTTTGATTTCTTGTTTGATGTCAAAACTGAACTCTAATGTTACGGCATTTCGCATGAGATTAAAGGCGTACATCTTTTTTGTTCTTTTAATCATTAAAAGAACAAAAATGTAATATAGTGTATTTTTATTACAGTTTGTATCTGTTACACTCAATGAATAGGAATTTTTACTTCTTTCTTATTTTTAAAAAATAGTTAAACGTATCTGCTCGAATATGACAACTCGATTCATCATTTCGAGCGCCAGTCCATTACTTTATACGAGATCTGGTTAGGGCTATGGCCGTTAACGTTGGTTTGACAACAATTTTAACGGGAACGGCGACTGTTTTGCCGTTGATGTTCTGAACTGTCAACTGCATCTCATCAGTTGACGTTCGGAACTGTCAACGTAAAATATTGTCGTTAGATGTCGTTATATTGGAGTTCAGCATAAGTAGAGAAACATACCCCTAATCATCTGAAATAGCTACTCCGGTGGAAACATAATTGAAGAAAAGAGGCAAAAAACGGAAAAAAAGGTAAATTTAGACAAGAAATTTTCACCCCCCAAATCACCCTTTCCCTGAAAATGAATATATCACTAATTTAAGGATCTTAGTTCAGTGGATTTCGACTGATAAAAATACTGTTGACAGTTCAGAACGTCAACTGATGAATTGTCGTTGACAGTTGAGAACGAAAACCGCTACGATTACACCCCTAGAGCAGGCTCGCTCCTACTCTGGCAAGATATAGCGTTCGTGCAAAGAGTATTTTGACGTGATTTTTGCACTTTTCCCTGGAACTCATCAACGCAGTGTAATACACATTCCAAGCATGCACACAAGTTTAGTGATACTGCAAAGGCTTTTATAAAAGCACTTTATATACAGTATAGTGCAGGTTGGTATACAGTGGTGGATCCAGAATTATTCTTTGGTACGTGCGGTATACGACAAAAGTGCGAGATACGTGCGGTCGTCATAGAAAAAAATGATACTAAGAGTGGTCTGCTGGAAAAAAACAGTTTGTTGTTTAAAAGAGTACCGCTCGTGGGCTGGATCCACCACTGCTGGTATATGCAGAAAGAAAGTAGACAAGTCTATATTAGCAACACAAGGCTATATGTTTGATAGAAAAACGAATCATGTAATGTATAAATGATTCAGCTATCAATCTGACTAGACATTTGATAAGATAGTTCTGGTTTAAATATTATTATAAAGAAAAATAGCTGGTTGAATAAAAATATCTTATATTACAGTTTTAGTTCTTTTTCAGTCGTCTTGATTATTTTTTCATGAATTTTCTATGTTTCCATTTTATTTTCAACTATGTGATCTTCGACAGATGCATATTTTCGGCGTGAAATTTCTTCTTGTACCATTGATTGTTGAACACGATCAGGTAGAGCAGGATTGATGCTCAATGAATAGAGCACGACAGTTTCTGGCATACCATTGAAATCAACAAGACATTTAATAAACATTATATCGTTTTTAACATAATTATTTCCATCTTGCTGTAACATTGCTAATGGGAAAAATTTTTCAATACCTGAAGCGCTGGTCATTTGAGTTTGGGGTTGTTGAAATGAATTAGATTCAATGTTGGATAGAATAGAATTGATAATATGATGTTGTTGACCCGATTGATCAAAAAGACAAAATGTAATTTTGTATGAAAACGGCCATTTTAATACTGAATCAAATTCACCATGCATAATAACAAAAAATAAGGATAAATGTGTTCCGCGTGCATTACCATCACCACTCAAATATAATTTCATGCACATTTTATAACCATTTTGTGATGAATAAAACGGTGGTGAATAAATACTTATTTGTTGTTCAGATTGAGCATTCGTTATTAATTCTTTTACACTTTTAATTTTCCATAGATATGTTCCATCGAATGAAGTTGTCTCTAAATTATCCTTCAATGTATTTAGCTCTTGTTTCATCAAATCTTGATTTAACTGCATACTATTTATGCAAGAGTTATTTTCAAATGCTGTTTCTTTTATCTCTTGGAATTCTTGCTGACATTTATTGAATGTATTAGTTAACTGTAATAATTCATTATTTAATTCGATATTTTCATTTTGTATTATGTGAACAGCATTAGTTAAAACTGATATTGTTTCACATAGTTTATTCATTTCTGCGAGTGATTCATCTAATTCTATTTGTTCGCTATCATTAGATGACATATCTGCAGTAACAGGATTGCCAACAT